GAAAGGATGTGGGTAATGGTGGAACTGTATGGCTGGTGGGACTGCAAATTGGTGCAACCACTCTGGAAAGCAGTATGGAAATTCCTTGGAAAACTTGGAATGGAATTAGGGGCTGGGGTTGTAGCTCAGTGGTAGAGCACTTGCCTAGCATGTGTGAGGCACTGGGTTTGATCCTCGGCAGCACATATAAATAAATGAATAAAATAAAGGTCCATCAACATCTAAAAAAAATTAGAAAAAAAGAAAACTTGGAATGGAACCACCATTTGACCCAGCTATCCCACTCCTCAGTTTATACCCAAAGGACTTAAAAACCGCACACTGCAGGGACACAGCTACATCAATGTTTATAGCAGCACAATTCACAATAGCTAAACTATGGAACCAACCTAGATGTCCTTTGATAGATGAAAGAATAAAGAAACTGTGGTGTGTATACACAATGGAATATTGCTCAGCATTGAAGAAGAATGAAATTATGGCATTTGCCAGTAAATGAATGAAACTGGAGACTGTCAGGCTAAGTGAAATAAACCAATCCTCAAAAACTAAAGGTCAAATGTTCTCTCTGATATTTGGATGCTAACACACAATAAATGGGGGGGGGAGGGAAGAATAGAAGTTCATTAGATTAGACAAAGGGGAATGAAGGGAAGGGAGGGGGATGGGAATAGGAAAGATAGTAGAATGAATAGGACATCACTTTCCTATGTTCCTATATGAAGACACGACCAGAGTAACTCCACATCATGTACAACCCCAAGAATGGGAAGTTATACTCCATGTGCATATGATTTGTCAAAATACGTTCTACTGTCATGTACAAGTAAAAAATATTCAATCACATTGGGTAATGCCACCTTGGTTTGACGATTCATCTGTTGATGGACATTTAGGGTCTTCCCCCTTTTTGGTGGCTGTGAATGGTGCTGCTTCGAGTGGTCTGGTACGTGTTTTTGTGTGGCCACAGGTCCTTTGCTCCTGGATTGCTACACCTGATTTTAAGTGGCCCACCATATAGTGCATGGCTATACCATAAACACACAACCATTTTCCTCTCATCAGAGGTCATTTTTGCTATTACGGCTGAGGCTGTGGTGAACGATTTTGCATTTGAAGCTTTGATGGTCTTTGGGGTTCTCTTCTGTGTGGACGCTATTGACAAAGTGAATGGTGCTCAGAGAAGAGTGACCAGGAGGGGGACAGGATTTTAAAGCCAGACCACGTAATAATTAACCTTTATCTGGCACTTAACATTTTATAAATGTCTCTCTGCCCAATCCATGAAAGTCCTGGGGACAGCCTCAGGGCTGGGGCAGGCATAGGACTGGCACAGTTCCCGGGGCGTCATGGGAGAAGGTCTGGGGCCTTGGGGGTCTTGCCCTCCCCAGTTGGCCTACTGTTACACATTAAACCTCTTCACCCCCCCCCCAAAAAAAAAAAGAAAAGAAAAGGAGTTTTCAACCCTTTAGAAAGAAAGCCATACATTTGAAGATGGCTTGTCACAGCTGACCTGAGAAGAGGTGACCTTGGGATTCTCCAGCCAGAAGGGAATATTTTGCCCTCGGGCATGTGTGCAGGGGTGTAGAAGTGTCCCTGCAGCTGGAAGGGGTGGGGGGAGCTGGTCCGAAGTGTGGAAGTTTGGGTGGAAGACAGGCTGAGGGGTGGTCTCTCTGGATGACCTATCCTTGCAGCTAGCGACGCGTCCGAGTGGGGTTCTCCAAGCCCACCAGTGCCTGCTGTGGTTGAAGGCTTATTGGTCACTGAGAAAGAACCACCGCTGGTCAGCACGGTGGTTGGAGGAATGGAGGGATATTTGCCCTGAAGTGGTCAGTGCTTCCTCAAAGCAGATAATTTTTTGGGTGGTGCCAGGATTGAACTCAGTGTCACTCAACCACTGAGCCACTTCCCCAGCCCTATTTTGCATTTTATTTAGAGACAGGGTCTCCCTGAGTTGCTTAGCACCTTGCTTTAACTTTAAGTTTACTTCCTGGAAAGTTATAGACCACTTCAAAACCACTTTTGAAGTGAAAATGCCTCATTACATGTTGTAGAGTAGCTTCCGCCGTCACATAAATTAGTCATCAAACGAGCCAAACAAGCAGCAATTTGTAATATAAACTCTAGAGTTGCACCGTGGAGGGTATCACTGAGACCGTGACAGCATTGGTTCTGTTTTTATAGCATAACAGCTAGGATTCTTGAAAGGCGCGGGTCTGACTTGGGGGGGGAGCTGATTTGGGGAGAATTTTGGTAGAGCTTTGCTGACCACCTGCTCCCAGGCTGCAGCTGCTGGTGATAAGTCTTGGAAGTGCCTGTGAGCCTGGTCTTGCGTGGCGCCACCTGGAGGGGGTTAGAGCCGGTACAAGAGAAAGGTCCCTGCTGAAGACCTGGCCCATTTCCTTCTTGTGGAAACCACAGTCAAAAGCTCTTTCCTGTTGTCCCTCCACCACATATGTTCTGTCTCCTGACCAGCCCAGGCCCTCCCACAGGTGGCCTCATGGCATGGCATGCACCCTTCTCCTGGGATCAGTAAAGGTAACACACCATCTTTTCAATGACAGTTATTTCCTGATCTCTTGGTCTTACCAGCCCTAAATAGTAATAAAACCTAAGGCTGGAGATACAGCTCAGTGGCAGAACACTTGTCTGGCATGGGCAAGACCCTGGGTTCCATCTCCAGCATCCACAAAAAAAGTATATACAGGGCTGGGGATGTGGCTCAAGCGGTAGCGCGCTCGCCTGGCATGCATGCGGCCCGGGTTCAATCCTCAGCACCACATACAAACAAAGATGTTGTGTCCGCCGAAGACTAAAAAATAAATAGTAAAAAATTCTCTCTCTCTCTTTAAAATAAATTTTTAAAAAAGTATATACAATAATAATAAATAAAACCTGTATTAAACAATAATAAAACCTATTTTAAAACAGAGCCCCTGGATGATACATAATAGTCCCTAATGAATGCTGTTGTCCCCTCCTTCTGGTGGGTTATGATTTCTTTGGCCAATGGGACATTTGCAATATGATATAAGCAGAGGTGTGGAAGGTGCTTGCATGCAGATCCTTTCCTCTCCTGGCTTCCCCAAGATCACCCGATGAAGAAGTCCTCGCCAGGCCACTGGAGGATAAAACCATATGGACCTTGCATGCATAAGGCCCTGGGTTCAATCCCCAGGACCAAAAAAAATCACATGGAGCAGGGACAGAAAAATCATCCCACTCAAGTCCCCTAGCCCAGCCAGTCCCCAAACAACCTACCGGATGACAATTGACACAAGTGTGAACCCTGGAGAGATTAGCAGAAGAAATGGGTGTGGGGATGCATGCTTGTAATCACAGCAATTTGGGAGTCTAAGGCAGGAGGATTGCAAGTTTGAGGTCAATTTAGCAAGACCTTTTCTCAAAATAATTTTTTTTTTAAAAGGACTGGGGATGTAGCTCAGTGGTAAAGCACCTCTCAATCCCCAGTACTGGGGGTGGGGGGAAAAAATCACCCAACTGAGCGCAGCCCCATTTACTGACCCATGGAATTATGGAAGATAATAAAATGGTTGGTAGTTCAAACCAGAAAGTTTCAGGTTGTGACAGCCCAGAAAGTCTGGTGTGCAGCAAAGACCTGCTGGACAGGTGTCTTGTCAAGACACATTCTCAACATTCTTGAAAGCAGAACATCTTCCTGTTCCTAACACCACAGGAATTTGGAAGAAGTTCTTTCATTGATAGTCTATGATCCGGGAAGTGCAAGTGACCCTCCTTCCAGGAGTGAGGGAGTAGTAGGATCCCTCTCTCCACCAGAGCCAGCAGGGGCTACCAAATTGTGGGGACAGCATCTAGGTCTGAGGCAAACCCAATCCTGCAGCCTTGGGCAAGGAATAGAGCTAATAACAGTAGGGTAGTGGATGGAGAAGGAGCCAGATACCCCTGCAATGTTAGAGAGGGGGTATCAGGCCGGATCCCTGGAAAAGAAAGGGAGCACCCTTAAAAAGTCTAAGGAGAAAAAATAAAGGGTGATCCAGAATTAAGGAGAACAAAGGAGAAAGGGAGGGAATGGTGGCGCAGAGGAGCTGTGACAGTGGGCTAGCAGGCAGGAGCCCTCGCTGGAGAGGAGCACAGATGCTGGGGATCTATAGAGCTGGGGCAAGATGGATGTGGTGGATCTGAGAAGCAAACCATCACTCTCTAGCACAGAGTGAAGCATTTGTTTGTTTTTCCAGAAGTCTATGTGGCCTCCAGTCAAATGTATGCATATCAAAGGATTTGTAACAAATGATAAAAAGGGCTGAACATTGGTGGTGGGGGCAGACAGGAAACCTGAATCCAAATCCTAGTCCTCTCGCTTCCCACCGATGACCCTGGACAAGTTACCTCACTTGCCAGCGCACCTCTAATGGAGAAAGAATATTCCACGTGTCTACCTGAAACAGCTGTTGATTGCCCAAAGCACTTTTCAAACGAGAAGTGCTGAAATAGACTTTGATGATTAAGGAGTTAGAGCGCAATCCTGATTCCTTAGTCTCTTCAACTGAATCCCTGCCCCACCTCGCGCAGACCCTCTTCAGTCCAAACAAAGGAGCTGACCTCGCTGTCCTCTTGGCCAATTACAGGCGCCCCAGTGAGAGGACCGAGTTCTGGTTGTGTCTCTGCCATCTAATTATATTACGCAGGGAGCCTGCTAAGCTGTTCCCTTTGGTATACTGGGGTTGAACGCGGATAAGGGGGCGTGGTGCGAAAGGGCTCTGTGGGCCTCAAAACACCGTGCTCCTTAGGCATCTAGAGCCGGGAGGGCGAAATCAAAGCCCTTGCAGGAATAATGGAGCTGGAAAAGCAGCCCCCCTACCTGTGACTCGTTCTCCAAGGCTGTCGCCCCAGCCACAGAGTGGGAACTACATTTCCCGGCATCCCGCGCGCCTGGAAGGGCTGGTCGGCGCCACGAGATTGGGCTGTCCTGGAGGGAGCGGGGCTTCCGACCGGCACTTCCGCTGTTGCCAGGGGAAACAGCCGCAGCGAGGCGGAAGAAGCCGAGGGCCGGCTACCTGTGACCGGGTGGAGCGCGGGAAGTCTGGCGGCCATGGCGGCCTCGGGGCCCGGGAGTCGCAGTTGGTGCTTGTGTCCCGAGGTGCCATCCGCCACCTTCTTCACGGCGCTGCTCTCCCTGCTGGTGTCCGGGCCCCGCTTGTTCCTGCTGCAGCCGCCCCTGGCGCCCTCGGGCCTCTCTCTGCGGTCCGAGGCCCTGCGCAACTGGCAAGGTGAGCAGGGGCGGGGCCGGACCGGGCGCCGATCCCCGCTGCAGACTTCGCGCCTCAGGGGACTCCAGCCCCAGACCTCCCCGCCAGCCTGTCGCTGCCTCCGTGCGCGGCTTGTTGCTCCCACCTGGAGGTCCGGCCTCCAGCACGGCCTCCAGGACCGCCTCCCGCCTCCCCGTTTCACGCCTTCCCAAGCCTTATCTTCATTATCACCCTTTCCTACCCGAATTTGCTTCTTCCCGGTCGTCGCCAGACTGGCCGGGGCTCCAGACTCATTCCTTGATGACAAAGGTGGTTTTCTCTCCGCTCCCATTTCATACCCACACCCACGTCTGCCAAGGGCCAAAGCCCCACCGAAAAATTATCTCTTCCCCTTCATCGCGACACCTGAGCATTGTCTGTTGCCACTCTTATCAATGTCCTGTCCTCTGGAGGTTTGGAATGTCTTTTTTTTTTGGGGGGGGGGGGTTACCAGGGATTGATCCCAGGGGGGCTTTGCCACTGAGCCACATCCCCAGCCCTTTTTAATATTTTATTTAGAGACAGGAGACAGGATCTTGCTGAGTTGTTTAGGACCTCGCTAAGTTGTTGAGGAGCTCCTCCTGCTTCAAGCTACGGAGTTGCTGGGCATGCTCCACCGCACGCCTGGCCTGGAATGGCTTCTGCGTAGTTTATATCGCAGTCCTGACTCCCAAAGCCCAGAGCTTGGGCGGGGGTGGCTGCTTCTGCATTTGGAGAGGTGTTTTTTTTTTTTCCATGGGGGAGAGTAATTTTCAGACCAACTAAGTATAAACATCCATTCATAAAGACATTCCTAGTCTCCCCTTCTTCCTCCTTTTCTGGGAAGGAATAGAAGAAATTTGTATGGCTCTTGTTGTTTTGCAATGTACACTCCCATGCATTAATCTCATTTAATCCTCAGCGATTCTATGACATAGGCCATATTAAACTGACCATTATTTAGATGAGATTGAAGCCTAGTGCAAAGAATCAGAGCTGTTAAAAGTCATAAAACTGAAATAGGAACCTAGCTTTTTGTTTTTATGGGATGATAGTTTGGAAATAGAGCCTTGGGATACATCGTTCCCAAATCATATAGTTGCTTCTAGAATCTTTTCACATTTATACTTGGAATTTCAGTTTCGGAAGTACTCAACAAATAATGAAGTACTCTTCAGATAATGAAGCCTTCTGGAGACGGCCTGACAGGTATATGGTTCCATAGCCTGCTTCCCTGCTCAAATCTGAAGCTGTTCCCTGCACCCTCCACCCCAGATACACATGGCACTTCCTCAGATAGAAGCAAAAAGCTAGCCCCCCCCCTTTTTTTTAGTTCACAGCTTCCCAGTTGTGGGGTTCATGGCATAGGATCATCAGTCATACAAGGGACCTTTGAAGGCCTCCAGTCGAACCTGTTGCTTTGCAATGAGGAAACTAAAGCCTCGAGATTGACTAGCTCAAACAGCTTGGTTGTGATAGAACCAAGATTCCACTGAAGGTCTTAGGACTCCCAAGTCACTGTCACTTCAGCTTATGTGTGGGCCTGCAGTGGTGTAAAATACATTAGAGATAACCATGTTTAGAAAAACAAGCATGATTCTTTGCTGTCTTATTGCACATAAACCATTATTCTACCTGTAAGGCTTTCAAGGAAGATGTCTGATTTCTATATTATTAATGCTAGCTTTATAATCCTTATAGCTGCAAAATAATTCATGGTCCCTTTTTTCTTCCTCTGAACAGCCACTATGGAAGGAGAGGTCAGGATTACAGCTGAGGAGACTGGCACACAGAGTGTTAAGTGACACCCACTCAATCACCCTGAAGCTGTTACAATTAATTAACCCTCAAACTGCCCAGTGAGGTAGGTCAGTATTAAAATCTAAAAAAGGATTATAAAGCATTTAAAATTCAGAGACTACTCCATGACAAAAAAGTATTTTTTTCACACATGGAAGTTGGTTTCCGACCTTCTCCAGGTCTGGGAAGAGCAGGGTTTAGACATTCATGCCTCTACTCTGAGTCTTGGGTCCTCTGTTGTTGTCCCCACTGCTTATCACTGCTTTTCAGTGGCTCTCTGGGGCTTACTTTCCCTTTCTTAGATGGCTTATCACCTGGCTTTCTCACCTGCGGGCCTCTAACTCCGGTCCCTTTTCAGTTTACAGGTTGGTGACCTACATCTTTGTCTATGAGAACCCAGTCTCCCTGCTCTGCGGTGCTGTCATCATCTGGCGCTTTGCTGGCAATTTTGAGAGAACTGTGGGCACCGTCCGCCACTGCTTCTTCACCTTGATCTTCGCCATCTTCTCCGCAATCATCTTCCTGTCATTTGAAGCTGTGTCGTCACTATCAAAGCTGGGGGAAGTGGAGGATGCCAGAGGTTTCACCCCAGTGGCCTTTGCCATGCTGGGAGTCACCTCTGTCCGCTCTCGGATGAGGCGGGCCCTGGTGTTTGGTGTGGTGGTGCCCTCGGTGCTAGTGCCCTGGCTCCTGCTGGCTGCCTCTTGGCTCATCCCCCAGACCTCCTTCCTGAGCAACGTCTGTGGCCTTCTGGTCGGGCTGGCGTGTATCCTTCTAGAAGGGAATTCAGAAAGATGCCAGCCAAGGGGGAACCTGGGGGGGCAGGTAGATAGTCTTGGGCTCAGACATAGGCAGCCTAGGCTCTGGCTGCAGCTCTGAGATCCCTGGAGCCTTGTGCTGGTCACTTCCTCTGTCCAGCCCAGGATTTCCTCACACAGTCATCTCCTTGTGCCAGCTTAGCCTAGCCCTGCCAGTTGACAAAATATACTAAATTTGAGGGGTTTTTTCCTTGTAAACTTAGGTATAAACCTACATTTGATCAGTTATCATAAGAGTGTTCATTGGAAGAATCTGAGATACCCAAAAGCTGGAGATATTCATGAAAGGGATAGGAAACATTTGGTTTGTGATTATTTTTGCGTTTCTGAGAATCAAACCCAAACCCCAAGGCCCCACACATGCTGAGCAAGGACTCAACCACTGAGCTACACCCTTAGCTTCAGATTTCTTTTTGTTACTGTTTTTGTTTGGCTTGATCTTTTTCTCAGGAAAAAAAAAAAGAAGGAAGGAAGGAGACTTTCACTGTAAGCATAGTTAAAACTTAGAATAAGCTTTCCAGCTTCTATATTTTGGCAATCAAGTGAAAGAAATCTATACTACAAAGTGGAGTTTCTTTTATAAACATCAAAATTAGTGGGGTTGGAAAAGAAAATTGGGGTTAGACAAGATATAAAATCTCTCATGATTCTGTGTACTAATAAGAGAGGTTATGTATCAGTATTGGTAAGTGAAAGCTCTTATTTTTTAATTTCATTGATTTTAAACTCATCCTCTAATATAAAAATGGAAATGATGTAAACTCTCCTACAAATACTACTTTAGCTACATTACACAAGTTTTTTTTTTTTTAATATTTATTTTTTAGAAGTAGTTGAACACAATACCTTTATTTTATTTATTTTTATGTGGTACTGAGGATCGAACCCAGGGCCTCGCACATGCTAGACAAGCGCTCTACCGCTGAGCCACAGTTTTGATATACTGTGTTTTCATTACCACTCAGTTGAAAATAGAATTTTCTTTGGAATTTCTTCTTTGATCCATGGGTAATTTATAAATGAGTTGCTTAATTCAAAATATCAGTGGTTTTTCCAAACTTCTTTTTGTTATTTTCTAACTTAATTTCATATAGGTACAGAACATTCTTTGTATGATTCTGACCCAACGTTTGGTATGTTGGTGACTATTCTTGAAAAGAACATGGGTTCTGCGGCTGGTAGACATGGTAGTCTGTGTCTCTCAGGTTGAGGTCTTGCTTTCATTTACATCTTCTGTATTCTTGTACTAAACCTACAACTCTTAACTGTGGGTTTTTCCATTTTTGCCTTCCAGTTGTTTTGTGCATTTTGAAACTCTGCTTTGGATGAATATACATTCAGAATTATATGTCATCTTAATAATTGATCCTTTATCATGAGGAAATTGACTCCTTTTATCTCTGGTCATATTCTTTATCCTAAAGTCTGTGTTGTCTTATATCAATGTAGTTATTCCAGCTGTTTTACTATTAGGGTTCATGTAGTGTATTTCCTTCCTTCCTTCCTTCCTTCCTTCCTTCCTTCCTTCCTTCCTTCCTTCCTTCCTTCCTTCTTAAAATGTCTGTGTACTAGGCGTGATATCACAACCTATAATCTCAGCTACTTGGCTGAGGCAGGAGGATCATGAGTTCCAGGACAGCCTGGGCAACTTAAAAAGGGCTAAAGATGTAGCTCCTTGGTGGAGAACTTGCCTAGCATGTGTGAGGCCCTGGGTTTAATCCACAGTGCTGGAAAAAAAATTGTCTTCATATTTAAATCCTATTTCCTATGTGTAGCATGTTGGTTCTCCAGTCTGACAATCTCTGATTTCAAACAATATGTTTAGCTCATTTACATTTAGTGTAATTATTGGTATGGTCAAGTTTAAGGCTACCAGCTTGCCATTTGTTCCATACTTTCCCCCTCTTCTTGCCTTTAATTGCATATGTTTCTAATTATAGAATTTAATCTTCTTTCCTTATTAACTGTACCTTTGTTTAATTTTTTTTTAGTGGTTACATACAGTATATATTTTATCATAAACAACTTTGAAGTATCGTGCCACTCCATACACAGTGTAAGACCTTATACAAATACAACATATTTTCCTTGCCTTCTTTTCATCCTCTGTGTTTTTGTTGTCATGTTTTATTTCACATGTGTTCAAAACCTCACAATACATTGCTATGACTTTAAATAGTTAAATTGTTTATATTTTTAATTAAAAAAGCCATCAAACATTGACCCACATATTTATTGTTTCTAGTTCCCCTTTAATGTGGATCCAAGTTTCCATCTGCTATCATCTTCCTGTGGCCTAAAGGAACTTCCTTTGACATTTCTGTTGGTGACAAGTTCTGTCAGCTTTTGATGTCTAAAAATGCTTTCATTTGCTGCATACAGGATTCCAGCCTTTTCTGGTCTCCTGAGACTCCTCTTTTACTTTTAAAGATGTCATTGCATTATTGTCTGACTTGTTTTCTCCTTTTTTTGGTGGTGGTGCTGGGATTAAACCCAGGGTTGTACATACTGAACCATATCCCCAAACCCCAGCCTTTTTATTTTTCATTTTAAGACAGGGTCTCCCTAAATTGCTCAGGCCAGCTTTGAGTTTGCTATTATCCTGCCTCAGCCTCCTGAGTGCTGAAATCTCAGGCGTGGGCCTCTTCGCCCAGCAGGCTTTTTCTGTTTCTGATAAGAAATTGGTGCGTCATTTTCATTGTTCCCTTTGTGTGATAGTCCTTTTCTTTCTGGCTGATTTCACTTTATCTTTTCATTTTATCTTTATCAGTAGTTTTCAGCTATTCCTTTTTTAATATTAACATGTATTAATCATACATATCAATGGCCTCAGTGTGACAGTCCCACACACGCACATGGCATGCACTGAAAATCCAACCTCCCTTTTCCCATCTTCCCTCAAACCTCCAGACACTCTCTTGGATTTTCTAGGAGTGTTCTACCACTGAACCTCGTCCCTCAGCCTTTTTTATTTTGAGACAGGGTCTCATTAAGTTGCCTAGACTGGCTTTGAACTTGGTAATCCTCCTGCCTCAGCCTCCCTGGTCACTGGGATCACAGGCATGGCTGCTGCGCTTCGCCCTCCCAGCTTTTTTTTTTGAAAGAATTTTTTTAATATTTATTTTTAGTTCTCAGCGGACACAACATCTTTGTTTGTATGTGGTGCTGAGGATCGAACCCGGGCCGCTCGCATACCAGGGGAGCGCGCTACCACGTGAGCCACATCCCCAGCCCCCTCCCAGCTATTTAATTCATGATGTAGCCTCAGGAGGATGCATCATTGTGTTTTTTCTCCTTGTGGCTCATTGATCTTGAATCTGAGAAGAATTTTCTTGGATCTATGACAGAATTTTCATCAAGTCTGGAAAAAAAAATTATTGTTTTTTGAAAATTTTTCCCATCCTCTTTCTCCTAACAGTTAAACATGGTTAAGTACTTGCTGTGCTCAGGGTCAGCTAGGCTAGGTTCCGATGCCGTGCCTTCAGGGTCAGTGCACTCTGTCGTGTCTGACCTGTGGAAAACCTGTTCCACTGTGTGTTTCCTTCTCACATGGATTTCAGTTTGAAAGTCTCATCTGATTCTGTTATCTAGTTTTTTGTTTCTGTATTGAGATTCTTCATGGGTTTCTTTATTATGTATTCTTAAATACTCATGTATCTATAATAACTTTTCCGATCAGTGTCTGGCAGTAGCACTGTCTCTGCCCCTTCTGAATCTGGTTGTTTCTCTTGATTCTTCCCCTGACTTTGAACCCTATCCCATGCTGCTTTACATGTCTGGCAGTTTTTATTTTAAATTAGACCTTCAGAAGCTAAATACTGAAGGCTGGATTTCATTGTTGTTCTGGGTTTTGTTCATGACAGGTGGTGAGTTTATGAAGTTTTTGTTCATGAAAATTGCTAGAAACCTGAAGTTTATAAGCTCCTGTAGGGAAATTACAGGGTATCCTTTATTCAGCGAGTCGCTGTGCCTTTGTTTAAGGCGCTGTCTTTTTGAAAGTCTCCTCTGAATGTCCCGGGTGTTCTGCGAGGTCTCTGTACTCTGTCCAGTTGACCTTGAGCATGTCCCTGCCTTGTCCAGCTCCAGGAATTGTTAGCCTGAGGCCTTCCGTTATCATTCCCCAGCGGCAGCCCTTGCTTGGCTTGAGGAGTCTCGCCTTGTGCGCCTTCATGTTCAGTCCAGATTCAGGGGACTCCTGTGCCGATTTCTGGAGCCCTCCTCGCCCTTACCCTGACCTGCCATTTCCAGCTGCTTCATCCTCCCAAACTCGTAGCCTCCTTTGTGGCCCAGAGCAGTCGTTGTGTCTGTGCTGCAGTTGGGAAGCACCTCTGGACAGGAAGCCTGAGGCCTGGCTCCTGTTGCTTACCTCCTCTTACATCCCAGGCCAGCAGCATCCTCCAGAGGGTGGAAGCCGTTGTTCGAGGTGTAGGTCCTAGACGGCAGCAGTGCGTAATGGGAGGCCGGGTAGATTGCTTCATCTGAGTCAGAAGCAGAACTGAATCTTGAGATGGTTCTGAAGCCAGCAGCCACGACAGCTTTGCTCTCTTTGGTTATCACTTGCCATCAGCACTTGGGTACGCGTCCTTCCTGGAGGGACGGAGAAACTCACAGCAGCGTTTTTAGTTGTCCCAATAAGTAGGGGGTTGGCCAGTGACTAGGATTCTAAACGTCCTCTGAAGAGTGAGGGGCTGGAGATACAGCTCAGGTGGTAGAGTGCCCGCCGTGCATGCACACGGGCCTGGGTTCAGTCCCTAGCACCACACACAAATAAATAAGGGCTGAGTCTTTGTGGCTGTGTAGGCAGAGGTCCTGACACAGACCAGATGACAAGGACATTCTCGGGTCACTTGGAATGGTAACAGCGTATGGAGTTAATGCTGCTAAAGAGGCTCATAGAAGCACACATTAAAGCAGGCTGCCCCCCTGTTTAGGGCAAGGTGTCATCCCTCTGAGGAATATTAGGACAGCCCTATGGCTCCTGCCATCACAAGGACAGGTGGTGCTGGCTTATGACCATGACGGCCTTGGTGAGAAAGCTCAGGACGGGGGGCGGGCTGGCAAAGGGAGGGCGAAGCATTAACTCCCAGACTCTGAGAGCAGCCGGGACTGTGTCCCAGGCCACGTTCCCAGCAGCCCTGTCGCCTCCCTGTGCCTCCTCCGCTCTGCTCTCTTAACCTGCCCTCCAAGATGGTGTCACCTACTGCCACTCCATCGACCTCTCGGAGCGAGTGGCGCTGAAGCTCGACCAGAAGTTCCCCTTCAGCCTCATGAGGAGGGTCTCCGTGTTCAAGTACGTCTCCGGGTCTTCAGCCGAGAGAAGGGCTGCCCAGAGCCGGAGGTCAGTTACAGCACATGTCCCCCTGGCTCCTGCAACCCCTCCAAGGCCAGCGTGGCCCAAGGGGAGTGCAGGGATGCGATCAGCCTGGGAATGGGTGCGCACCCAGGGGCCAGGGGCGCAGCCCAGCGCGCCTGCCTCCCCCGCGTGACGCCCAGGGAAATAGAAGAAAATGGGCTCAAAGACCCGAGTGCTCTGGCTGCTGCCCCACCGTCTGGAGAAGGGAGTGGCTTCTGAGGACACTTGCCCATAGTCCTGAGTGACATGTAGAGAGATCAGGTGTGAGCGCCCCCAGCCAGTGTGACATGTTTTTGCACTCAACAGGTCACACTGAGCTATGGCGTGTGGCCCAGATGAGGTAGGGACAGCCCGCACAGCCGACGGGGTTCTGAGGACAGACTCAGCCTGGGGTCTGGAGGGTTGTCCTTGACCACCAGCAAGAGCAGGTGAGGCTGCTGTCCCAGGCCAGCCCGTGCGTTCTCTGGGGAAGCCAGGCAGGCCACCCACTCCTGGGGCTGCTTCGTTGTCACAGAGGAGGCCACAGAGCGCACGTGGGTTCCCGTGTCTCCAGTCCACACCCAGGTCTCCTCCCACCCCTTTCCCCTGTTCACACTGCCCTGCCCCTTGGATTCTTCGTGGTCTTGTCCCTGCTGAGACTCCACAGCAGAGGACTTGACCTCTCCTGCCGTGGTCCCCCTGAGACAAGGAACTTTCTAGGAAGCCGAATGCTCTGTCGGTGACCCACATCCCCTCCTCGCTGCCTGGATGCAGGTCTAGTTGAATTGGAAGCTGCTTCTTGGGGTTCGTTCCAGGAGGTGGCCCCAGCCTGTGCTGGCCCTGGCAGGAAGGGATGGACACCAGGAGAGAGAGAAGCACAAACCTGCCTTTTTGCTTTGGGCACGTAATCCCTGGCATCTGACTCAGGGAGAGACTTTATAGAATGAGCAAGTCCCAGTGACTTGGGAGGCTGAGGGAAGAGGATCTCAAGTCCACCGGCAGCCTTGGCAATTTAGTGAGACTCTCACCAACTTAGTAAGATCCGTCTCAAAATAAAAAGAGCTGGGCATGTGACTCGGTGGTAAATTGCCCTTCCGAGGAAGGTCCTTTTTATTTTACTGGGGATTGAACTCAAGGGCACTGACCATTTAGCCACACCCCCAGCCCTATTTTGTATTTTATTTAGAGACAGAGTCTCACTGAGTTGCTTAGGGCCTTGCTTTTGCTGAGGCTGGTTTGAACTCGCAATCTTCCTGCCTCAGCCTCCGAACCTCTGGGATGACAGGTGTGTGCCACTGCGCCCAGCCTCCCATAAGACTCTTGAGAGGGTGCCGCGTCCGGCCAAGGGAGCCGAGTCCGGCGAGGGACGGCGAGGTTAAAAAACACAGGACACCAAGGTTCTTCATCCAGGAGAGAGAGATTTTATTTTTTCCCCCCCTTTTATATATCCTCCCATACTCTGGGTTAAGCATACACACACATACACACATTCTTTACTGCAGGAAGCGGTTTCAGGCAGCTTTTAGCAAACTAGGTCTGGTTTTGCAGGGTGCTCATGCAAGGCTCAGCTGTGCCAGCTAATCAGTAGGTACAATCTGTCCCAGGCTCTCTGTGAGGGCAGATAGACAGGAAGCCCATAAGACTGATTCAGACTTCGGTGGAAGCCCACAAGGCTAATTCAGACTTCGGTGGTTTTCTCGCCTTTACATGCGAAACAAGGGACAGGGAACTTATTCTTTTCCCTGTTTAGGGCCAGGGGCTTCACCACAAGAGGGCTTTATAGGGTTTAGGGTGCCAACTCCACCCAGGGAGGGACTCCCTTCTGTAATAGCTTACACTGGTCACCAACCACAACTCATGCCCGTGGAGGACGGCTCATGACACTGTGCATCCCTAGTGCCAGGTCTGATCCTGCTCCAGTATGACAGGCAGACGGGACAGGGAGAGGTTGTGGCCCTTTCTGTTCCTCACATGACTGGGGTCCGGTCTTCATTGCCAGGGCCTGCTGCAGACGCCCAGAACAGAACGTGTCCCAGGCAGCCCAACAGTGGGTCATAGGCGGCGGCGTGACGGCGTGCGTTTGGTGGTGAGGCAGCCATTTGGGGCAGCTTTGTCTCCCTGGCTGCTCTGGAGGAATTTGTTTCTCACTTTGTTTCTGTTTTTCATTGTTGTTTGTTTTGTTTGTTTTCTTTTGTGGTGACGGGGATGGAGTCCAGGGCCTCACCCTAGGCCAGCATCTACCACAGGGCCACGTCCCCAGCCCCAAGAATTGTTTAATTTCTTAATGTCATGTGAAGGGGGACATGAAGTGTCCTGTACCTGAACTCAGGCAGCTGGTCTGCGGCGGGGTCTGTGACCTCAGCACACTCATTGTTAGAGGGGTTCCTGCCGCCTGAGTTCCCTCCTGAGGGCCCAGGTAGGAGATTGACAGCAGGTGGCCTGGGCCTGGGCCCTGTGCTCCCTCGGAGGCCACACGGTGGCGCTGCGCTCTGGGTGGAATTGCTGTGGGCTGTGACCTGGCCAGTCAGTCCCTCTACTGGTGGATGAGCCGCTGCGAGGAGGCCCCCCCTCAAGCTCCGTCTCCTTTCAAGCTGCTGCTCGCTGTTCGGGCCTCTGTTCTCTGAGATCAGCCCTTTTCCTCACTTGGTCCCCAAAGGTAGCCTCAGAAAATGACCAGAGCGTGGTGTGTGCCGAGCAGGACGGCGGCCCTGCCCTGCCCTCTGGAGTGGCCTGGTGGGCCTTGTCACTGCTGGCTGAACGACCTTCCCTCTCTTCTTCCTTTCCAGGCTGAACCCTGTGCCTGGCTCCTACCCCACACAGAGCTGCCATCCTCATCTGTCTCCAAACCACCCTGTCACCCAGATGCAGCATGCCAGCGGCCAGAAACTGGCCTCCTGGCCAACCGTCCCTGGGCACATGCCCAGCCTGCCCCCATACCAGCCCACCTCCGGCCTGTGTTATGTGCAGAACCACTTTGGCCCGAACCCTAACTCCTCCAGCGTCTACCCGGCTTCTGTGGGGACCTCCATGGGGGTCCAGCCCCCTGCCCCCGTCAGCTGCCCTGGCACAGTGTATTCTGGGACCCTGGGCACCCCAGGGGCTGCAGGCTCCAAGGAGTCCTCCAGGGTTACCATGCCCTGAGAGAACATTAAGGGAAGTCACCTCACGTCTCGGCCTTCCGAGGAAGGTCCTGTCAGCTGATTTTCTTGACAAAAACTTATTTATTGAATACCTCCTGTGCCAGGCCGTGTCGAGTACCTTGATACATGTCCGTTTCCGCCCCCTTTGTGCTCCCATCGGCTCTGTGAAGTAGTTTACACAGACAGAACTGAGACACTCTGTGACATCATGGGATCTTGTGGCCCTGGTGGCCCAGCTGGAGTTCCTCACTCATGGCTCAGGGCTCCTCCCAGAGGACGTGGGAGGGAAGGGCAGCTGTCGGGCTGCTGATGGCTCTCCAGTGCCACCTTCCTTCCTGTGTCTACTCTGCACACGCTCTGTCCCCTGCAGTGTCCCTGTGTCTGTGCTGGGCAGCCCCCAGGCCTCTGTAGTAAATCTCCCCCAGTCATCTGCACCCAGCTGCGGTGACCTGTGTCGTGTCCTTGACCTTTGTATAAAGAACCAGCCTCCAACCTGCCCATGGCGTGTGGCTTCTTTGATCTGGCTGGGGAGGTGACATGGGGATTGGGGCCATGGCAAAGAGGGAGAGGGACCAGGGTTGGGTCAGACCAACAACCATGCCCAGTAGGTCAGGAGTGGGGTCCCAGGGGAGTGAGGGGCAGAGGTGTGGGGAGAACTGGAAGAGTGAGGCGGACGGTTGGGCAACCAGCCCTGGGCAGCCGCAGGGCACCTCCCTGCTCCCAGGAAGGAGGAGGTGTGGCCAGAGCTTGGGAGTGGGGACCACGAGGAGAGGGGCTGCCAACAGGACCACAGACCCCTCAGTGGCACAGACACTGGCAGCGATGCCACTGGAGAAGCACCCAGCCTCTCTGCATGTTTGCCAGTCGGCTGTCCGTGTCTCCCGTTGGCCAGGTTAACCCGGAGCCAGGAAGCAGGTGAGCCCAGGAAATGCTGGAGCAGAGCAGGACAAGGAGGGGGTGTGAGCTCATGGCCTGGCCAGCCCCAGGGACCCCTCGTGGCTTCTGGTCAGTGCCCAGCTGGGCTCCTCGCAGCGGGCCAGGTCAGGAAAGTGTGCCAGCAGCACAGGCACGTTCATGGACATGACTAATGGCCCCACCTGTCCAGAAGCCAGATGGCCCACCTTGCTGACTTTCTGAGAGGTCCTGGGTATTGGGGTGAAGTCACCTGATCCCAAACCCACCCTCCTGGGGAGGACTGCTAAGACCCAAGCCAGAAGAAGGTGGTCAGGACACCAGATCTGCTCTGGGAAGTAGGGCTTACAGCTGTGGAGCAAGCCTGGCGGGGCCTGGCCTGGGGCTTTGGACTCCAGCCACACCCTGCACTTTGGCCTTAGTGGCCTGTCCCAAGCCATCTTCCTCTGCTCCTGCCCCAGGCCTGTACCAGAAGCAGATGCAAAGGGCAACTGCTTGGAGTGGCAAGATCATGTCCCTCCTTTGGCCTTCTATGTGAACGGCCGGCTGGAGCTGCAGAAGACAGGCCTTGGAATGGCCAGGCTGGGCCCAGAGGTCCCCAAGCCGCAGAGCTGTGAGGACCCTCGGATCATTCAGCCTAGCCCTCCCCTCCCACCCTGGCATCACTCCTGGGGCTGCAGGAGGCAGAGGTGGGCCACAATTAGGGCCTGGCTCCAGCCTGCCCCACCTGCTGCTCGGAGCCTGATCTCATCTCCATGTTCCCCTGGACTTTTCCTGGCTCTGGCCACAACATGGACAGCCTTGGAGCCAGCTCAGAGTGGGACCATATCTCACCCCCACGTGTGTTCTGGAGGACCTAGAGGGGATCCCAGGCCCCTTCCCCATTTGCCTGTCAGCACTGTCCCAGGTCACAATCTATGTGCAGCTGCAGGCTGGGGCCAGAGGTGACATGGATGGTAAGCTGCATGTATACCGAGGGCCACAGCACGGGGCCTGCCGCTCAGTGTCTGTGCAGCAAAGGAATGAACCATGCGCCCTGCCTAGGACGGCTCAGGCAGGACTGTCACCCGTGCACTGAAAGCTGCAGTGGGGACAAGCAGCACTAGAGGAACTGAGGGGGCTCCTGCTCAGCCTGGTCTGGCAGCCAGGAAGCCTGGGCCCGTTGAGTACCAATCTCCCACCCTGCCAGGGAGGAGGGAGGCATTCGCTCTGGCCCCTGCTCACCTGCTCACCAACGCCCTTAGACCCTCACCAGAAACCTCTCCCCATCTGGCCACCAGGGAGGCTCGCAGGTGCTATCAGCTTCCTCAGGACAACAGAGAGCAGCAGGCTGCCCTGTGACACACAGATCTGTCCTGGGGCAGGGAAAGGTTCTCTGCTCCAGGGAACTAAGCCTGGAGGGAAGCAAGCCAGATGGGGAAGGCAGGTGTGGAGCCGGTCAGGTAGGAGAGGCGAGGCTGCAGGGGGAGTCCTGTAGGAAAGGTGAGGCTGCTGGAAGTAATGGAGGCTGGCCCCAGGCAGGCAGTGAGCCAAATGCCAGAAATGGAAGTCGAGGGTACCAAGTGGCTCTGGTGCCCCAGCACATGTGGCAGGGCTGAGGCTGTGCATAGCTTCACCACCTGAAGTCTAGGTCTTGCCCAGAGGCTCCTGCTCCCCAGGTGAGCGGCCAGGACAAGGCCCAGAGATGGCAGCAGGCAGCCGATGCCTGGAGGGTGAGCTTCCTGCGAATTCAAGTGTGGCCAGGTCGGGGGAGCCTGGGGTAGGATGCGGGGGCCCATAGGGACATCACCCCTGGTCTGAGCTCTGACACGTCACTCTGCCTGGACAACTGCCAGCGGCACCAGCAGCACCCCAAGCTGGACCTGAAGCCTGGCTCTGGGGGACCCTGTGCCACCTCCAGGACAGGTGAGAGGCTGCCTTGCTTCACAGTCCTGCCTTGAGCTTAGAGCCAATATGTGTGCGCGTGCTTTGGCTGAAACAAGGTCTCCAGAGGCTGGCCTGTCACCCCTGCTGCATACCCCAGGGAGTAAGGGCAAGGCCACTTGGGCCTCTTGGGGTGGAAAAACAGAGCTTCCTGCCCTCAGAGGTCACTGGGATGGCCCTGACATTCCCAGGGCCCAGCAGTCAAGCACACAGGTCCCTAGTAGCAAACACACACACACACACCACACATGCACGGCCTACTTGGGCATCTACAGACACAAACACTTGACCTCACATATCTGGACCTTGACCCACACGCAAATTTCTATTCAAACAGGTGGGTACCCACCCTCAGAAATGCCCGTGTGTTTGAAGCACACCCACACGCTGTGTGGAACACACAGAGTCCTAAGCTTATCTGTACACAGCTGGTACCAACGCGCATGCACAGGCAAGTGGGGCTTCGCAGGGTAAGTTTCCAGCTGGAGCCTCCGAACCCCCCCCTCAGCCTGCCTGGCCTGACCCGGCCTCCTGCCTTCCCCCAAGCACGCGGGGTGGCTGGCCCTGTGTGAGATGGCCCAACAGCTGGCACCAGCTTCCCGGTATCTCTTCCAGGAATGGGTGTGGCCACTTGTGGCACATGAGGAGCGGGACAGCAGAACAACAGGACGGCCCTCCCCTCCCAACCACCTATCAGATGAGGCCAGCAATTCCACCTTCGGAGGGTCAGGGGCTGATGTTTGTCAACATAAAACAACAGCTCTGCTTAAGGAACTCAGAAGACAGCATCTTCTGAGCCAGACACAAGTGACCACGGCCCTGGAAGATGGGCTCAAGTCCCCTGACAGCATGGTGCCCTACGGAAGAGGCTACATGAGCTTTCCTAGCCACAGAACAAAGAAGGCCATAAACCAGCACGTTCACCAAATAATACTGGCGAGGTCATCAGACAGGGGGCACAGCAAAGCAGGGACCTCCGGGGCTTCAGAGGCTGCCCCCTCGTTTTCTTGGCTTCGGGTTGGTGGGGGCTCTAGGTCCTAGAATCTTACTAAGTGTCACAGGATGACAGGTCAGATACAGAGATGGGGAGTAAAAAGGCCACCAAGGGACTAAGGGATCCCAAGGTCACTTGGGCTCTTGACCTGCAAGGCTCCATCTTTCTGCCATCACCGTGTCTATCAGCTGGCCCATGGGGTCTTGAGCTTCTTCAGAGAACATGGGCCCCACAAGTCACTTACCAAACGTGGAGAGAAGATTCTTGGACCAACTCCATCCCAATGTGGGAACCCAAGGCCCAGAGAGACGAAGTTACTTGACTAAGAGCTTAGAGCCAAGTGGCCCTGGGACAGAGCCAGCTCAGAACCCGGTTCTCCTGATCCGGGTCATTGGAAAGAGTCAGCTGGGTGACAGCTGGGATCACAATGAGGCCCAGGCAGAGGCTCTCGGGGCCACTCGAGCCCACCCAGGGAAGCCCACCAGAGGCCTTGGCCCACACCTGGTGGCTGCTGCTCCCAGGCTCCTCTCAGTCGGACCAGGAGAGCCACCAGGGCCCCTCCAGTCACACTCTGGGGGGAAAGGTGCCCGGTGGAGGGGCTCTCCAAACCCTCCCACATGGTGGGGAGCTCTGGGGAGAGACCAGAGCCTGAGAGAGCAAGGGGGCCAGTCACTGACACAGGACACACAGGACCCCTCTCGGCCCCATCGGTAGCCTGGGGTATCCACCAGGCGAGGAGAGCGGAGAGGCCCCTCCTGGGCCACCCATCCCCTCATCAGCCCCACGGTGGGGGGCACCTGGCATGTAAGGCCCTGCACCCCTCCGCCTCTTCCTGTGGCCCCCTGCCCCCCTCATCAGCTCCCCTCCTGCCTCCTCTGTCCCCTCGCCAGCAGTGGGTAGTGCCACCATGCCCTGATTCCCCTTGCCACACCCAGACCCCGCCAAGGCCCAGTCACAGAACCCAGCTCTTGCTCCAGTTCTGGAGCCGATGACTCAACTGGGCCCTTCTCAGGAAAGGACCCTGGTCCTAGAGTCAGCAGGGACTGCATGAAGGAGGTGCCTGGCCCTGAGCTTCCGATGGACAGAGAGGAGGCACATCACCCAGAGCCAGCAGGACCCCGCAGGAGGGAAAGGACATCACGCGGGAGTGAGGGAAACGGAGCTTTGACGCAGCGACTGGGAGCCCTGCTGGGGGCGGAGGCTGGAGCTGGGGCTGCTCTTGCAGGCAGGGCGGGGGCCAGGTGCCTTTTGGGGCACTTAGGTTTTGAGGGCCGAGGGGTGCCCTGGCAGAGATGGCCCGGGCATGGGAAGAAGGGAGCTCTGGATCCACACCGTGAGAATCTGAACCGAGGCGCCAGCCACCCATCCACCCACCCCAGGCAGGAGCGTGGGAGAGCAAGCTCGGCTGGGGCCTCAGAGAAAGGCCTGGAATTGTGACATGGAGGCTGAGGAGCAGAGGTTTGAGGGAGGCCTCCAGGGTGCCAGCGGCCTCTCCCTGGCTGGGAGGCTTCCGGTCAGTTACTTGACCTCTCTGAGCCTCTGGAACCTTCCATCTCTGAAAAGGAAGAACCTTGCCCGCCAGGCCAAGGAGAGGTGTATGTAAAAGAGACGGAGGGGTGAAACAGGGTTGCTATAAAGTGTTTGGCTTGGGGACAGTTTCCCAACTGCC